CGGCACTGGTGACCGCCACCCCCGGGGGGGGGGGAGGACCCCCTGTTTCTCGAAAATCGATAAATCGCCAGGGGCTGCCAGGTGGCGGTGCGCACCCCCCAGTATTTATTTTATTTTTTATTTTTTATTTTTTCGATTTTTTTTTTTTTGTTTTTTTTTTGTTTGGAAAGCCGGGGCCGGGGGTGCCAACCCCCGACCCCCGGGACCCCCGCCGGGGCCCCGGGTCCGGGGGTCGACAACCCTGTTTCGAACAACCTGGTTAAGGTCGTTCTTTCCAATTCCAAGTCGAACAGCCTGGTTAGGCCATTCTTATCCACTGCAATCGGACAGCCTGGTTAGGACCATCCTTGTCCATTTCAGTTGGACAGCCTGATTAGGGCCGTCTTTATCCATTGCAATGTTAGTGCCCGAGGGGGTGGGCCTCGAGGACACGGATCCTATCTCGTCTCGGAGGTTAGGAGGCGACCATCTTCTTGGGTTTTTACGCATGGTTCTTCCTCTTCCTTATAGTATTTGTCATCCTTATGTCCATTCATACGTCCGACTTAGCGTCTAGTACTCGAGTTGAGGGTTGCCACCTCAAGCAGCACTAACCCGCCCGACCGTTCAACCATTGCAAAGGGTGTGTGCTCTCACTATTTTCTCTTTCTCTGGTTCACCTCCTTCCTCGATGTGGCATGACGGAAAAATATGCCCCCCGCAGCACCCTACGATCCATGTATATCGGTTGCCAGAACAAACGTCGCACAAAACAGAGGTCCCCACGACAAGCATAAAACCTTCCCTAGTGGGACTTGGCGCACAAAACGGAGATCCCTGTGGCCGCTTTCTTCTGTGTGGTAGCATTATGTGTACAACAAACTTATTGGTTGGACACTGCACCGACGGCACTGGCCTCCTGCAACAGTTATCATCGGTCTACATCAACTCAACCACTGGGACCACAGTGAGACTTTTTCTTGACTTCAGATTGCTGATTGTGGTCGTCCCACTTCATCATCTACAAACGACAACTCCATCAAATCCAACAGCACTGACAATCTACGACCAACATCGTATTCATACTTCATCAAAGGCATAGGGTTATTGATTTGACTCACCCAAGTTGGAGCACGGCCTCGCTGGCCCAACTGGTCTCACTGCCTTGACCCGTGATAGTATAAGTCACGGGTGTCTGCCCAACCATGACAGGTTGCGAAGACTCGAGTTGCGCCCTCCAGACCTCGTCCGCTCGCGCACTCATCGCATATGCGAACCTGCAGGCACGTGACACAAGGGTCGGGTCTCACAGAGATCGAGTCTTTCTCCTTGCCTGTTTTACGCAGTCCTCCGCTTCGTCTCAGATCATCACTACCTTCCTTCAGTAATCCAGGTCGGTCAGCAGTCAGCGGTCCATCGGCCTCACTACGGTAAGCCTGTCCTATCGGTCCAACTTCCCACCATGAACCCCTCTGCATGTAGAATCAGAGACAGACCGCCGACACCGAACCGCCAGCAACCAGTCTCTGCAACTCCTGCTTCACTGTCCTCATTCCCGACCAACCCCCCACTTTTCGATCCTTTCCTGCTCTCTTTCTTTCCCTCCAACCTTACTATTCAATCATTAGAACCCCTATCCACTGAGCAGTTGGACACCATCTTCTCTTCCCGCTTAACTCCTCTTTCCACTTCCATATTTTTTCCTCATGTCACTATAAACGAGAATTTTCAACGTATCTTCATTTTGGATCCTCCATCTGCCTTCCTTCTTCCTATCCATCTGCAATCTGCTTTCTTGGAAAGGAGATATGGTTCAAATCTGGTTACTAGCGATCCGCTTGAGTACGTAGAGGATGCCTCCTTCTGCACTTTCCAGAATGACGCTCATTCGTTATTCTTCTTGCTCAGAGATCAGGCGATCAGGTTACTCTCACATTCTTTTTACTATAATTTTCTTCTCTCTCTCATTTTCATTGGACCACGTTGTTTGGGCATCATCCCTGTTGAGGATAAAGCACGACCGAGTTCCGCACTCGTAGTTTACAAGGAGGAGCATGCGCATGACTTGTGCATCCCCTTCTATTGTTTCTCTCTCTGTCTGGCGTCTGCAAGGAACGACTTGTCTCGTTTTTGGGTGAACAGCGGTTTTTTAAGCCTGACAGAGAATCTTCCCTCTATAGGAAGTTTACTTGGATTTGTCCCACCGCTCGCGTTTGTCTTCAAGGGTTTTTTCAAGCAGGTCATCAAGAGTGATCACTCGTATCTTCTTCTTCTGCAGCTGATACGATCCGACCCTGGCCGTTGGTTCCTCCTGCTTACGGACCAGGCTTGCGGTACTCAAACCAGTTATCTTAAAGCACCACTCTTTCCTAGGGAACCTTGGCATCCGTCTCAGCCGGCTTTACCTTGCCTTGTTACCAGCGTAATCAGGCCACGCACGTCTTCTCCTTCCTGAACCAAGCAGATCAGGATGCCTCTGAGGAAGAAGACAGAAGACCGCTCCTCCAAGAAAAAGACCTCCATAAGAGTTTCAGATCATGCTCCAGAAACGGACTCCTCCTCGGATCGACAGATACTTATTCAGCAGTTTCTCATTGTTCCTCGACCACGCTCCCGACCTCCTCAAACTTTCTTACCCCCAGTAATCACCACCCCCACCACTCCTAAGACCCCACGCACCAGAAGCAATGCATCAACCTTTAGATTTGTAGACTCAATCTTTTTCTTCTTCATATCTCTACTTTTCTTCCTGGTCCTCTTCCTTTACTTCCTACTTTTCTTTCGATACCCCACTCGTTTCTCCTTCCGTCCTCCATAATCTATTCTACTACTTTCTCTCACCCCTTGGATTAAACCCACCATTCATGCTACTCGTTAAAAGAGAGAAGGAAGAGCGAAGAAGGGAGGAGATGAGAAAGAAGGGTGAAGACGGGAGGGGGGAAAGGAAGGGAGGAAGATAAACAATTTTTTCTGAGGACTAAGCAATTTTTCCTTAAATGTTTTCCTTCATATGCAATTACATTTTTTCCAAGTAAAATCTCTTCATGAAACTTAATTGTCGGCCTTATTGTTTTAATAAGCTCGTGTGCTGCTTTTGTCGTAATCCCACCCGAATGTATGGTAGAAAGCATGTGAACGACTCAAGTTTGTACCTGGTTCACTCTCGAAAGAACCACACGTGAGAAATAGTTCACTCAGTAGAGTGAGAAAAAAAATAAAAGAAAAAAGGGGAGAGGAATTGACATCATCAGCAAGGCAGTTGCAAAAAGGGGGAGGAAGAATGTCAACCTGTCTGTCCACATGAATTAAGCCAGGACCAAATGATTATAGATCAACGCAGGCAGAAAGGGAGTTGAAGATGGGAAGCAAGCAGTCAGACAGTGTCAAGGATCGAAGGTTAATAGAATGCAAACAACCAAGAAACGAAGGGTACTCATGCTTAATCTGTCAATCAGTAAAACAGGGAACACCTCAATGCAAATCATGAGAAGAGACGTAAAAGCGAAGAAGGACCTAAGGAAGCTAAGTAAGGCGGGGTGAGGATTTGCAATCACAAAACGAACCTCTCTGCACAAATGCAACACCAATCTGGCATTCAAGAGAGAGGAAGAGAAGTTAGGATGAAGAAGAAAGTTGAGTGAGCATTAGAGAAGAGCACCAAGGGTGATTAGAAATATCGGAATATCGCCAAACCAAATGGCTACAATAACAAGTCATAAGTTATACTTCTCTTATTTTTACTTAAACAAATTGTTATATTCAAGTCAACTTCATACCTCTTCTTTAACAGCCCCATCCCATCAACCCTCTCGCCTTTTACGTTCCTACTAATGCCCATATAATATTCCCCCTTGCTTCACAACCATCACAAGGGAAGCGAGAAACTTTCTTTCAATTCCCTGATTTGCTTACGGCCTTATGTTACCTTCCTCGTCATAAGGCAGCTGATGTGGCGGTCAAACCATCCTGATCTAATCACAGAAGCAGGAAGGGTAAGGTTGGCAGTGACACTATAGTTTAGGTATTTCAAAATAAGATAGCAACTCGTCATTCAAAAAAAAAAAAAAAAAAC